GGGGCCCCCCGGCGGCCCCCGCCGGCCTACGCCACATTCCCGGGCGGTGCCGGTTCGGCGGTGCTGGAGCGATCCCGGCCCGCCGGCGTCTGCCCCGCCGGAGGTCCCCTCCGTGGCGCTTCCCTCCGTGCCCGTTTGGCCGCTCCCGGACGGCAGCACCGGCCGGTGAATCTTCCCAATAAAGCGCTGCAGATCGATACCGAACTGGGGTCTCTGATGGCGAACTGGGGTCTCTGATGGCGTAGCGGGGGCATCCCCCAAAATCTCCTACTCTGCACGCACGGGAGTTACTCGCTTTGCAGCCGCAATGAGTTTGCTCCTCCCTCCGTGCCCGTTTGGCCGCTCCCGGACGGCAGCACCGGCCGGTGAATCTTCCCAATAAAGCGCTGCAGATCGATACCGAACTGGGGTCTCTGATGGCGAACTGGGGTCTCTGATGGCGTAGCGGGGGCATCCCCCAAAATCTCCTACTCTGCACGCACGGGAGTTACTCGCTTTGCAGCCGCAATGAGTTTGCTCCAGAGGAAAAACCATAACGCTGATAAACCAGCCCCTGCGGCCGGCTCCTTCGGGTGCTTCTCCTGCCCCACGTTGCAGGAGAATCTTTCCGAATGCTTTTCCCTTTCCTTTGGAGCTTCGGAGCCTTTTGCACGCGTTAATTAAGCTTTGTCGGAGGGGGATGGAAATACCAATTTTCTGTATTAACAGATAAGAGAAACTGAGGCTGGGATGTGCCGGGACTTGCCCGGCATCAGCCGGCAGGTCTGGCACAGCCGGGGATAGCGGATGTGACCGACAGATCCTTGTTCTAAAATTGTAACTTAACTGAAATTTCTAATAAAATGAACAGTTCGTTACGTTTCTGTATCACCTCTTTTTCCGGAGACTCCGCACTTCGTGTAGCCGAGACTCTCTCCTCTCTAGACGTGGAAGGCAAGTAGCGGTGTAGTCTGAAAAGGCAAAGGGGTAACGACGAAGCACGGCACGGTTACTTGCAGCTTCTTTGAAGAAAAGGTGTTGTAACCTGTAGCGGGGAAGCTTTTTGTTTTCCCTAAATTCTGTACGAATGCGTCGCTTTCGCGTTGTCTTGAAACATAAGCGTTCGCCCGGTTTAGCGCTGTTTTCTCTGGCGCGGATCAGCCACGATTCGCTTCGGCTGGAGTCGCCCTTTTTGATTACATCCCTCTTGGTGAATACGTACGGGTTTGCTCTTTGTGGGGGAAAAAAAAAAGTCAAAAAAAAAAAAGGGGTAAAACGCTTTGGATAAAAACCGCTTTGAACCAGTAGACTCATATTATTGTTACTTCCGCGCAGGGCCAGTTCAAGTGTCAGGATAACCAAGATTTGCAGTTAAATGTTGCCCGTGAGCTGTACCGAGGTGACACGATTGAGGAATAAATTATCAGCAGCCGAGTCCTCTTCCCCCAGTGCAGCGCGTGGGGTGTTGCGTGGGGACGCCTGCTTACCCGACGGTCTTAGCAGGGTCAGGGCCTGGCTGAGATCTCTCTAACAGATGTTTTTCTTGTGGTTTTTGGACGCTAAAGGAAAAATAATCGTGATTTAATCGTGGCAGAAATGCAGCTGGGCAGAGCGGAGCGTGGCAGCTGTTGAACAATGCCCAGCCGCTGCACAAAGGTTCGGGGCAGCAGACTGCTGGAACTGTATCCTATTGAAATTGCAGATTAAGTTACTGCAAACGCGCAGGATTGCTTCCCTCTGGGCCTGCAGTTCTGCTGCCAAATTGGTTTAATATGACAACTTGTTTGTGCGTGAAACCCTTAGAACTGGAAGAGACGTAGCGGTGGAGAGGGAAAATAAATGCAGTGGGGAAGGGACGGCTGCGTAGCCCAGGAGGCTTTGTCTGCTCTGCCTTGGGTGAAGCCCAGGCTTGGTGCTCTTCCTTAAATCTGCTCGGTGTCACACGCGCTTTGGGAGCTCCCGGTGACCGGATAGGTAGCTCGGATTGTTTCCCGATGAGAAACCTTGGCACTGTGTAGCTGGAAAACTGCGTTTTGAAGTTGCCGCGAGGCACGGATGGCCCCAAAGGGCGAACTTTGGAAGTTTTGTGGGAAGCTGCGGGAGCATTTGAAAACTTGCCTACAAACAAACGCTAGGCGCTGATGGGAGCAGGGAGCGGTGGCGAGCGCGTGGAGGTGATGTTAGGGTCTCCGTGCTCTCGGGGAAAGGTCTCTCAGCCCGGTCGAGCCCTCCGCTCGCGGGCTTTGACAAGAGGCTCCCCAGTTTTTACAGGGCTGTTTGCTAACGCTGCGTCTGAGCTTTCCCCGCTTTGCACGCCAGGTCTGCGCTGCCACGTTGGTGTTCGCAAGCAATGTTTCAGATCGTACGCTGATTTTCTCGCTCGGGTTTCCTTCCCACTCTTACAACCTTGTGGCTCCTTGCCCTGTCCCGAGCGTCTGCCCGCAGCACCAGCACCCGGAGCAGACCCTGCTGCTTTGGAGGAAGGCGTCGCAGTCTTGTTAACGAAATCCGAAAATGTGAAGTTTGCAGTTATTGAGATTTCAGGGGCTCAGAAGTAGCAGGAGCGCGGTGGGACGTGCCTGGCATCCCTTGTGTCTGGGAGACAATAGGCAGGGTAAAACTACTCGGTGCTGATCCCGTTGTAACCATCGAGGTTGGGCTCTTCCCCCGAAGCCCAGGGTGAGGTTACAAAACTCCACTTGCTTTGGACGCTCCGTGGCCTGAACTCTTACTGGGATTTTTTTGCCTCAAGCAGTTACCTAACAACGTTACTGGCCGTCGTTCCTTGTTGACATCTAGTTCACTCTTTTGGTAGTTTTTTCATCTAGAACACTCAGTAGAAGAAAACTTAATATTTTCAGTTCTGGGGAATAATTGAAGCAAGCAAAAATGGGCAGTTCTGCGAGGGCGGTATTCTTTTAAAACAATATCCCACAAACCTGTAGCACCACGTGTTACTGGAGCGTTTTTCCTTCCCCTGCCCTGCTTTGAAGGCAAGAAAGGAGAAGGGGAAGTAGCTGATGTGTCTGAGGCTCTGAGATGTTCTGCTCTCAAAGTCAAGTTTCTTTAGAGCTTTTTTCCAAGTGTTCCTCGCTCCAGTTGATCGCCGTAGCCTCTAAAGGCCCCGGTCACGGCAAATCCGTGCCCGCTCACACGCTTGCGTTAGCAGCGAGTCGTTAAACCCTTTACCCCAAGTACTTCTGCTCCTGGGTCCCGATTGCTCCCACCTGGATGCAGGTGATGGTTCATTCGGAGCGCTCCGCCGTGGTAGCGGTGGAGAAACCTCGAGAAGTACAAGCGGCCTTTTGGTCTTGGGGGCACGTGGAAATGGTAGGCCGGCCCGCCGTGGCTTTTGGGGAAGCGGCGGGGAGGGTGGGGGCCCGCGACGGCTTCGCTGGCTGCCTCGCCCATGCGATCATTCAGTGTCGGTGCTGCCTTTTGTTTTTGGTTTCTAACAGTCTGTTCTCTCTTCTCCCCTGCCCCACCACAGAGTTCTACCTTGTAAATACTGTTATTTGTATATACTGTAAATGATGACATCGGTGGGCACTAACCGAGCCCGGGGGAACTGGGAGCAGACACAGACACAGAGCCAGACACAGCACAAGCAGCGGCCGCAGGTAAGGGCAGCGTCCATGGAAACCAGTTAGCTTGGAGGTGGAGAGCTGGCACTCCTGCCTAGCCCAGCGCTAATGGCTGGGCTTGGCCTAACGAACTTCCCGGGTGCTGCAGGGTGCTGCTCGCAGAGCCAGGTTAATTGGGCGGCCACTGACGGTGGGGTTTCCACATCGGTGCCTCCGAGCGGGAGCCGGGGCTGAGATTTATTTTTGCTTCCATCTGACCATTCCCCGTTCACTTTAATGAACGCAAGTGGCTGAGAAGCCACCTGCAGTGGGTCTTGATGTTCTGGTGGTGCTAAGATCTGCCTCAGAATGGTCATAGTTTAGGTGATTGTCGCTTACCCGGTGCCGCGAGGCCGTCCAGCAGTACGTCCCTTTCTTCCAGGCTCCCCTTGCTCGCTCCTCCTCCTCGTCTGACTTTCTCTCTGAAGCTTTCCTTCTTCTGACCCCTGTTTGCGCCTCCTCTTCATCATATTGATTCCTTCCCAGAGATCTCGGGGAAGTGGTATGGCCTTTGGAGGAAGGTTTGTTGGAAATGCGCCACTCTAACCACGCTTCCTCTCTCCATTCGATTTCTTTAGGCCACTGCGGAACAGATTCGACTTGCACAGATGATTTCGGACCACAATGACGCTGACTTTGAGGAGAAGGTGAAACAAGTGAGTGTGGAAAGTGAGGGTGAACCCCGATGGGAAGGCAAGAGCGATGTCGAGAGTACCGTGGAGGCTGCAGGGGGTGGGGAGGGATGTGGCTGGCTGCTCCCTGAGTTTCCTTGGACTGGCTTGTTTTTCAGGGGCTCTAGTGCCTGCCGTGCTGAGCCCCAGCATGCAGGGAGCGGTCTTATCCTGAGAAAAGGAGGTTGTAGGTTGGGTTGTGGTGAAACAAAGGCAACTCAGAAATTCCCACCCTCAGTTACTTCTCGTTGAGGGGGCGTAATTCAGCTGAGGAGGCTGGGGAGACTCCCAAACCCTGACATTTCTTTGTAGGATTGCTGGTTTGGGATTCAACTTGCTTGCCTCCCGAGAGATCCGTAGAGATTTTGGTGCCTTCTTGGTTTAGAACATGCTGACCGTGGTGTTGTCTTCTCTACAGCTGATCGACATCACAGGCGAGAACCAGGACGAGTGTGTGATTGCTCTGCATGACTGCAACGGAGATGTTAACAGAGCCATCAACGTGCTGCTGGAGGGCAATCCGGACACGGTAGGATTGGGTCCTGTAAATCTGGTGAGGCCTAGTTCAGTGTAACTGCATATTTGGAGACAAGACATACAGTAATGTCTAGATAACGAGAACCAAAATGACTGACTCCTTCCACGAGTGGCATGTAAAGCGTGATTGTGTCCTGGCTTCTTAACGCTGCTCTCTGTAGGCTTGCACAGAAGACAAGCGTGGCCAGCAGGCCCAAAGGAAGAGCAATAAATCATTTACTTCCTATTCCTTTTGAATCCCAGCGCTTTGAGAACGGTACAGTGGCACCTGTATAAGCTTTCACGCTGCCGCAAGCGTGAAGTAACTTATCTTTTCCCACGAGGGCTAAGTGACCTGTGTTGAAAGGCAGTTATGTGTCAGCGGTGGTTCATTTCTGTTAGCGTAATGCAGTTTTGTGTCTCTGGCCCTAAACATTCGCTTCTTAGCGATGCGCTGAGTGTGTGCCACTGCCCGTGCCACCTTTCTGAGGGTCTTTTTGCTGTTCATTTTCGGTGGAGTTAGGCTTGACTGCTGTCACTCACGCAGGTGCCCGTCTCAGACAAGCCAAAGTCAGCTCTGAGAACAAGTGAGCGCTTGCTTAGGAGGAACCTTCCGCCTGGTGTGCGGGATGCCATTCATCTTGTGACAAAGACAGCAGAGACACGAGTTCTCAGTAAAAAGCCTACGAATATCAGATCCTTCCAAACTGCCGCTGATCAAATGTATCCTCCCAGCACCCTGGTTTGGCTGAAGCCAACTCAGCTCTTTGTAGAGTTGAGGCTCTAAATATCACTTCAGAATATAACGCATTAGCTCTTTTTTTTTGTCCTCGTTATTAGCCCGGAGCGTAGATGGATGAGCTGGACAGCTCAGGCTATGTTCTGTGTAACGTAGCTGCTCCCCAGCGCCAGGTGCTTTGCTGGCTTTGGCACCGGCCAAGTTCAGTACGGCGCACGTAAGGGTTCTTCCTTGCCTTTAGAGAGCCCTTTCCATTGCCAGCTGAACAAAACAGCTGTTGGAAAATCCTTTTAGAAAGAGGGATGATATGAATGTGCATGGCTGAGGCAAAGCTCTGCCGTGTATTTTCCTCCACATCCCTTGTAACCGGCGCCTTCTAGTTTAACGCCAAACTCCTGCCGTTGCAGCAATTGCATTTCCTAGATAAACACATTGCTCATGAAAATAGCGTGCAGCAAACGGCGTTACGTAGCGGTACCTCCTTTCTTCAAGCAGCTGAAACGCCCAGCAGCGTGAGATGCAGGGCGAGGCATGGCTACTGCGGAAGACTTGTAGAGGAAGAAAAGGAGTTGGCAGAGCAAAGCCCTCGAGTGCCTGCCACTTCTCCAGCCTGCAGTGCCATGGGGGGCCTGCGGGCTCGTCCCCGCGGCACCGAGCGCAGGCAGCGGCGGCACCGTCATTGGTCAGCGCTCTTGGAGCTGCTTCTGGCCTGGATTCAGCTTGTGCAGCGGTCCCGTAAAGGGGATTTTCCTGATAAGAAACAGACTTGCTAATTGCTCCGATACTCCCGTGATGATGAAGACAGCTCACCTGCTGAGCGAGTTACTCATAACCTACCGTATTTCAAACAGTAAAGGAGCTGGCGTGATCTTAGCGTTGGGTTAGATTTGGCTTAAAATTACAGTATTCAAAGTAAATATTTTCCTAAATTTCCTTCTGAGCCAGATACCTATGGAGACAGACTTCAGAAGCCTTGGGTTTGAAGGCAGTTTGTGCCTCTATGTTTTTTTTGTCACTGTCCCTGCATGTTGCCATCCAAAACCAGATGTTTACTTGTCTGCCAGTTGTGTTTTCAGGTGTTTGTCAGTGACTCGTGACTGTTTTTAATTGTTCTAACAGTGTGCAGCATCAGTTTAAGAGTATGAAACCACTGCAGACTGTCATAAAATAAACCAATGCGGGCCCACGGCAGTAAGCTGGAGGCTTGCTTAACTTCTTACAGTCGAACTGGGGATGACTTGAACTTGTCTGTTGGATAAATCCTGTGATGCTCCTCTCCCTGTGAGCTGCTGTTTAGGGGAGGGGTTTTGTTAAATCGCTCTGCATCTGAGAGAATAACTTAACCCGAAATGTTGACTGCAGAGCACTTTGGAGCACTGGGTTATTTACCTGCTCCCCAAAACACTGACCTGTATGAAATGGCAGGGTTTTTTTTTTCCCTTAAACAGGGTAAATTTATCCACGCTTTGAACTTGAGTAAGTAGTATGCCCGCTCTATTTAAGAGGTTTAGTAGGTCTTTGCAGAAATAGAGTAACTCATCTCCTGTTACCTCAAACTGCATGCCAGTCAGCTGTAAGAAAGCTTTCCTCGAAGGAAGAAGCTGTACTGTGTGTAGGCTGATAGACTCTTCTAAAAAAAAAAATTGGGCTGGAAACCATTTTTTCTGGCAACCTTTGTTATATTCTCCGTAGCGTGTTTAAATATGCATGTATTTGCATCTTGCGTCGATCAAACTATGATTAACTTCTTTCCCCTCTGCAAACCTTCAGCATTCCTGGGAAATGGTCGGGAAGAAGAAGGGTGTCTCGGGACAGAAGGAGAGTGGACAGACAGAACCCAGTGAAGAAAGCAAAGAAAACCGGGAGAGGGATCGGGATTTCAGCAGACGACGTGGCGGGCCACCGAGGCGGGGGCGAGGTGCCAGCCGTGGAAGAGAGTGTATGGACCTGCCCTTTAATACCACCCGTAACTGCCACAGCGCCCACCGAGGCGCTTTGTGCTGCGTAAAAGCTGTCAGTAAAGCTTCTTGGGCAGACGCGTCTTTGAGGAAAACCATCCTTGTATGTGTGGCGATCTGTTTGATGCTCCCCTGCCCGAGATGATTCCTTGGGTGATACTCTCAATACCATCAGCTTAAATAAAAGAAGTTATGGGAGCATTTGGCAGCGTGGTCTCCTACACAGCCGCTGCGCTTCGGTGTTTGAGGTCTGGTCTTGTATCCTCCCTAAAGCAGGATGAATCTTGAAATTGTCTTTATGTTGTTCTGTCTTTCAGTTCGCGGCCAGGAGAATGGACTAGACGGTGGTAAGAGTGGAGGATCTTCTGGAAGAGGCACAGAAAGAGGGAGGCGGGGACGTGGCCGAGGCCGAGGTACGCACGGGGTTTGAGGTCAGAGGGGGTGAGAGGAGAAGAATTACGTCAGCGTATTCATCTCCATGAGGTTTGAAAGCCTCTTTTCTGGGAGGAATTGCCAAACTGAAAACGAGCACTAGATTTTTCTCTTCTTATGCTTACACTTAGTGCCTGCATGTTGCTTCGCCATCTTAAGCCTGCTAGAAGCAGTATCTAGTTCTTGCATCCCATCTGTGGAGTTGGGAAAAAAAATAGGGCTTTATTGTATAGAGGTGGGAAGTTAAAAAACCTAAGGTGGCTATTTGGCAGGTGGGCCAGTTGCTCGTTAGCAAGAGTCTGGATCCTCGTTCTTGCACGTGTGGCTCTGAGCACCATTGCTGTGCAAACGCTCGGCTCGGTTTTTAAATACTCAGCGGCGGAAATTCATTTTGCCACAAAATCTGTGCTGCTCAGGAATTGTTGCTGCGGACACACACTGCAGAAATCAGAACCTGGGGTCCGGTACTTATGGTTTGTGCTAGCTGGAAACCTCATCTGAGCCTGGAATCATGCATCGCTAATTATACTGCCAGCCAGCTGAGGTCATTCCCGTACCTATAAAGGCGCTGCTGGAAATCCCATCGACTCAGGAAGATCCTCACCACTTTCATATTCTGGGCATCAGGACTCCATATGTTGTTCAAATGTTTCTTTTCCCGGTGATGCAGAGCCAAGAGAGATGCTCAGCAGCGCGTGTGTGTATATTTTACAGGTGGCTCTGGAAGGCGAGGGGGAAGATTCTCTGCCCAAGGCATGGGGTAAGTTTCACTGGTACAAACCACAGCAAAAATCAAAGTCTTTGTGCATGAATGGTACTGTTTGTGTCAGTCACTTGTGTTCCGATTTTCCGTTTTTTGTTAATAAAGCCAAAACTGCCTCATGCTAACTTAAATTCGGAATGGCTGGTGTAGCTGAAGCATCCTTCTGCTGAGAAAACCATCTTTTGAGACTCTTTGAGATGTGTCATGGTCTGAATAAAATCATTGCTTTTAAAATACTTAGGGAGAGGGAGTAAAAATTTCCATCCTCATATTTCTTGCAGAACTTTCAACCCGGCTGACTATGCCGAGCCGGCCGGCACGGATGAGAACTACGGGAATAGCAACAACAACACGTGGAACAACACGGGCAGCTTCGAGCCGGATGATGGCACAAGTAAGTGGTCTTCACGCGCCTGTTGGCTGGTTTGTATTTAGAGGGTAAGTGGATTTTGTGTCCATCCAGTTGCGCTGAGGAGGTTCTGGGTAGGTCTTTGGCGCAGGGACGGAGGAACGGGCTGTTGGTTCAGAGATGGATTTCAGTGACCCTGTTTCTTTGCAGCCGGAGGTGCCTTTGCGTCTGTTAGGGTGCCCACGTTGGAAACTGGGAGCCGGGTGATTGTTCTGGTGTGAGCTTGTGCGTGCTGTTGCCCAACAGAAGCACAGGAACACTTGCCTCCGTTTGTTTTCCAGTAGAAACCATGCTGCCTCTTTGGAAAAGTCTTTTTTATAAACTGTAGCGTGATAAACACATGCAAGTTCTCCCGATATTCGGTGCATCCTCCAGAGATTATTACTCAGAATTCAGATGTTTTGGTCTTGATTTCGGTATGGGGAGCATTCTCTCTTTCATGGTTGTCTCGCTCGAACTGCTGTAGGATGAGACCTTCTTACAGAAAGCTAGCTGGAAAGAAATCTTCATCGCTTGGCCTGTTTGAAGCAAACGTTTCTTCACTGGGTGGTTCGTGAACGCCGATCTGCCCTTGTACATTCTCTTGCGTTGGAAAAATGGTATTTTTTTTTGTTGTTTCAAGTACGCACACTATTGTAAGCCACAAATGAACTCAGATTTTGCAGTGTGATAACTGGACAGAGTCACAAGGGACAATCCTTAATCGTAAGTAGTCTGTTTGTGCGGGGTTTTTAAGAGTGGTTGCTTTTTTTTTTATGGAGGAATCTTGCACCACCGTGAAGTCAAACTATTTTTCCATGATTTTTGAGCCTTCAAGTAAATACCGCGTCTCGGTTATAAGAAGCATTCACAACCGTATTAATGTTGCTTTAGGCCACTTCCATGTTTGTTGTATTTGCTGAAAACTGATAGCTTTGGAAAGAGAGAAATAAGGTACTGTAAACTCTGATAGCTTTTACTACACATTGTTAGTGTAGGGGTTTTTTGGGTTTGTTTGTGTTTTGGGGGGTTTTTGTTTGGGGGGTTTGGTTTTGGTTGGTTTTTTTTTCCCCAGAAAAGGGAGAGCTGTTTTGAAAGAGGGGGAAAAAAATAAGCCTGGTTTTGTAAAACACTAGCAGATTGAGTGATCATCTTCTTGCCGACTGAAAAATGGAGTTTTAAATACCGGAGGGAGTAGCGTAGGCATGTGTTAAGGGCAATGGGTACGCTCGGCTTTGGAGGAAAAAGGGATGGGAGTGGATGAGCTCTACGTGCTTGAAGTTTAACTGTCTAGTCTGAACAGGCTTCTGTGGGGCTTTTGGGGTTTTTTTTCCTTCTGTTTTGGTGTTTTGTGGAATTGTGGAATAAAGCGGGTTAGAGCGTGGTTGGGGGAACTGAAGATTTTTCTGATGGAACAACGCAAATTTGCTCTAGTACTACCAGGCAGCTGTAAAGTTTTATCGCGCAACTACGCTATTCACCTGTGTCGTGCGTGGTCATTCTGTTTCCGTTTCAGTAGCCGCAGGCATCTCTTTAAATTAACAATATCCACAGGTACAACGTGGCTGGTGTAAACGGGGGCAATGAAACTCGCCTTCACTTCTTTAAGTCAAAATTTCACTCGTTGTCTGTCTTGTCTTTTTTTTTTTTGTTTCAGGACTTGATTTCATTGGGGGTGAGGGGTCAAATTATCCCCGAAAATTTGACACTGCTCCTGGTACGATACATCCAGGTGCACTAACTGCCCCGGATACCTTTACTTTATAGCTTTTTTTTAAAAAACCTGAAATATCTGTGGATATGTCAGTCTTCTCTCCCTTAATTTGTTCATTTTAATGAATATTTGATGTTTGTTCTGATTGTGCTTTTACTAATGCTGATGCCTTGAATGTAAATTGGGAGAGGTTAACCCAAATTCTTGTGGATTATGTAAATTTTAACTTCAGCCACTGCTTCTCGGTACCCAGAGCAGCTCCGTGTCCACAGCACCGATGACAGAGTATCCCACCCGAGGGGAGGAAGCGTGACGCAGCATAGTCGTATTCTGCTTGTCTCACATCTGGAAAGCTGTGACTTGTCCCCGTGCCGTTTCCTCGGCGCGGCGGTTCGGTTCTGCAGCGATCACTTCGCTGGCCTCCCCGCTGTGTTTCTGCTTAGGGTCAAAACGCTGCTGCCCGGGGCATTAATCTGGCTAAACTACCTCAGCGCTTTGCCTCTGCTTACGGCTGCCTCTGGGCGAGCGATGCGCTCGATGGCTGCTTTGGCATGCTCTTGCTGCCCGGCCGCTCTTCTCCACCTGAGCAGACCTGCCCTGCAGCTGAAGATGACAGTGGATTTGGAGATGACCGGGATGCTTGATGGCAAAGTTGCTCGGTGCCTGGCCGCTTTATTTCCTGCTCTTACACCTTTATGCCTTATCAAGCCAAGAGACACCCGTGAGACGCTCGTTTGCCTTACACCTCCCGCATCCCATCGGTGTCCGTAACAAGGCCAAAATCGCGTTTGACTAACATCTCCTCCATCTAACCTGAGGCCTGGAAGTCGAGGCGAAGGGCCCTGCCGAAGGAACTTGCCACTTTGCTCTCGAAGGTCAGGGCAGGAGGAGGAGTGTTGAGGCTGTAGGGTGTCTTTTGCAGGGGCCCGGAGGCAGATGTACTTGGAGTGCTTCTGTTGCTTTGGAGCACCTCCTGGTTCTCACCTCTGGGTTAATCTTTAACTCCCGCAGGCAGCACAAGGCCATCTGCTCCAGTGCTGCCATTGTGGTTTTTGCCACGCTTTGGCTTTGTTTGGATTTACATTCCTTTGAGTTGAGGAGTGGAAGGTTTGGGTCTGTCACCCTTCCAGGCTGGGGCATCAAGCGTGTGTCCAGTCGTTGAGACAGCAGCAGACCGCCTGACGGGCTGCAGGAGGAGCAAGCCGGTTGCTCATCTCCCAGTTTAAAATGAAGAGAGAGTGTATTAGGGGAGTGTGGGGGGAATCTTGAAGACAAAACGGGATTTTCTTCTTCAGCACATTCATATTTACAAATGCCTATTGACTTCTAATTTTTTTTTTTTCCCCCTTTTCCTGGTTTGAGGAGCTTAAAGACCAGCAGCTCTTTGAAGGGCTTTCTTAAAGCAGAGAGGAGGGATTGCCGTTCGGAAGATGACACTTCTGAAATGGTGTTAGAAGCGTCAGGGCGTTGCTTGCGTTGCAGCTC